AAGGTTTGGAAAGGTTAGGCACATTGATGGAAATTACTTGTTTACCGAAGTGGGAAGCCCAAATGCCCCTGTGATCTACAGACCCTCCAAGTGTCCCTATTTTCCAGGGATGTCCCTGATTTAGAGAAGCCATCCCGGTTTATGATTTGATCCCGGAATGTCCCACTTTTCCTTAGGATGTCCATATTTTCATTGGAGAGAAGCTGGAGGGTATGGAGTTATCCAATCCCCAAGCCGTCTGAAGGCAATCCTGTATAGGGAAGTTTTTTTAAAAAATGTTAAATGTTTTATTATCTTTATATATGTTGGAAGCTGCCCAGAGTGGCTGGGGAAACTAAGTAAGAAGTGTGGGGTATAAATAGTAAAATTATCATTATGGAATGGGATTTCCCTATTTTCATTGAAGAAAAGTTGGAAGGTATGGATCTAGTCAGGTGGGAATCTCAAAAACTTCCCCCCTGTGTTCATAAAACACTTGGCCAGGATGTAACATCACAACAAAAGTATTTATTCAAACTGAAAAAGGAGCAATGGAATGTGCTGGATCCCAGTCTTTAACTTAGTCACAACCTGTGTGTCTTTGAACATACGGGAGCGTTTGGTAGAGCTGACATTTGTTTTATTGGGTGCAGGATTTGCTCCCACTTATCTGGAATGCTGATCATAAAAAGTTAAACATTTCTCTAACTAAATGTCAGGCCAAAGCCATAGTTAAACAAACAGCAGGTACTTCCCAATTGACTCCACCAAAAGGCTGCAGCCACAAATGGAGCCTAACTTTCTGTTCCCATATACTATACTCTAGCTGTGGTTTATATACCTCGTGTTTGCATGTGTGGGGTGATTGTTTGTTCAGGAACTGTCAAAAGAAGGGATTACTTGGGTTAGCAAATATTGATCAACTTCACTCTGAAGTGAAACTGCCCCATTATTTATACTAGAGTTTTTAACAGGAAAAATTTGTCCAGTTTGGCAATGGCTCTGGAAGTTTGATCTGAGGCTGGTACCTGCCCTAGGGAATGACTTGGGACTGTGTGTCATTAGGCCTTAAATCCAGGACTGTACCGGTCACCAATTTATTTATGGTCTGAATTCAGGGATTTGTCAATGACATATTAAATCCTGGATGACTTGGGACCTAGGGGATCTGCACTGGCCCCAGCATTTGCCTTGGATCTGCCTTGGGACATTAAAAAATACAACCCCCTAATCTGTTTGTGATCAATGATTTTAGTTACTGTCTTATTCCAAGCGTGTTGTGGCCATAGCATCTTCTGGTTCTCGCTAAAATAACATTGCAAAAGAGCATTTAGAGCTTATACTGTCAATAGAATGTGTAATGCAAAACTTGGACTCAGGTCCAAGTGCACAGCTATAGCATCTCTAAACCCAACCAAAACATCCGTTCTGATGTTCAATCTTGATCAAACACACTTAAGGCTCGATCTTATGGGCCACTGCATGGGCAAATAAAAGATCTGAAGTTAGCAAGTGTTTTTTTGGCACACTCACGCCTGCTCTTATGCAGTGTCATGACTTATGGTGTGACACTGGTGCCATAAGCCAGCCCACGTCAAAACGGCAATGCTAGCAGCAGACATCATTGCCAGAGAAGGGACAAACCAAGCTGTTGAGCAGATGATGAACAACAGCTCACCTGTGTACCATCACAGTGGCATTTTGACCACTTCAGAGCAAAAAAGAATGTCTCACCTCTTACATAAACAAATGATCACTGTTCTAGGCAGGAGGGGTCTCCACAGATACCATTTCAGCACGGAATCTGTTCCACACAATGGAGAAATTAGGCCTTTAATATGGGGGCAGCTACCCATTAGATGTAAGGGATGCAGGTGGTGCTGTGGGTTAAACCACAGAGCCTAGGACTAGCCAATCAGGTGGTCAGCGGTTCAAATCCCTGCGACGGGGTGAGCTCCCGTTGCTCGGTCCCTGCTCCTGCCAACCTAGCAGTTCGAAAGCATGTCAAAGTGCAAGTAGATAAATAGGTACCACTCCGGCGGGAAGGTAAACAGCATTTCCGTGTGCTGCTCTGGTTTGCCAGAAGCGGCTTAGCCATGCTGGCCACATGACCTGGAAGCTGAATGCCGGCTCCCTCGGCCAATAAAGCGAGATGAGTGCTGCAACCCCAGAGTCAAGTCACGACTGGACCTAATGGTCAGGGGTCCCTTTACCTTTACCCTTTAGACATACGAGCCAATTCCTAGGGGCCTAAGTTCCTTTGCTGACCCCAATAAAATATTTGGAAGGGCTGCACGCCCCCCTTAGTTGATGGACACTGCTATTCAAATGTGGCTTGTGATAGATTATGCGGGGTGAGGCTTATCTGTCCCACCCCCATATTTTATTCAAGATGGCACCCCTGCCTTTAGAACTGCCTCTCATTTTATATATATCAGACAGGCAGTGTCTATTGTATTTCAGACTTTTCTTTTTCAACTATTAAGTGAAGATTATATCGCTGTCTGTATCCGCATTGGTTTGAAATTGCTCCATGAAATCCTCTTGTTCGTGTTGCTACTGTTAATCACTTTGAGATGATTCACACATGGAATTGAGTGTAAACAAATACACAAATCAACCACATCTGCACAATGCGCTTATTTGTTATAACTTCTTATAACAGGATTGCAATGGAAAGCTGCTCGTTTGACCTTCTTTGAGAAAATTATTTCCATCAACCAACACAGTCGGCAACACCTGGTTCCAGAGGCCACAGTCAACATCTACATCCCAAAGTGACTTCAAAGAAGTGTGACTAGCCCAAGGTCACCCAGCAGCTGCATGTGGAGGAGCGGAGACGCGAACTCGGTTCACCAGATTACCAGTCTACTGCTCTTAACCACTACACCACACTGGCTCTCATGAGTGCAGCGCCTCACTCCTTACTTTGATTCCTAGAAACTGGCATTCAGATGCAAGCAGAACCTGAGTGTGGTGTAGTGGTTAAGAGCGGTGGACTCGTAATCTGGTGAACCAGGTTCGCGTCTCCATGCAGCTGCTGGGTGACCTTGGGCTAGTCACACTTCTCTGAAGTCTCTCAGCCCCACTCACCTCACAGAGTGTTTGTTGTGGGGGAGGAAGGGAAAGGAGAATGTTAGCCGCTTTGAGACTCCTTTGAGTAGTGATAAGCAGGATATCAAATCCAAACTCCTCTCCTCCTCCTCCTCCTAGGGTTGCCATATTTCAAAAATACAGAGACCCCCAAAATTGTTGAGCAACCGCGATTTTTCGATTGACATGCCTAAGATCCTGGACAAAGTGCTGCCTTTCAGAAATTCCCCCAGTATGTCAATTCCACCTTTGAAATGCCAGTAATGTCCAGGAAAATCTCAATGTATGGCAGCCTCAATTCTCCCCATCTGTGATTCCCAGTGACAGTGGACATAGAACATAGCCATTGTGGCTAGCAGCCATTGATAATGAATCGGAATATGTAGTTCTAGAGGGTTAAAATATTCTTTTAATAATTTCCTATCTCTAGATACTTGTAACAGACAGTTTCAGTACCATTTATTGCTAACGTTGTTGTTGGGAGGGAATTGCAACTCCTTTTGAATGACTAGGTGGCTACCGGCAGCTTACTGCCCTGGTGCTCTTTCTTTCTGTTGGATCATCAGTGAGCTTGGTGCATTGCAAAGTAGCACAAACCAAAGGTCCCTGCCCCAAAGAGCTTGCAGTCATAAATCTTGACATGGTGGAAGGCAACAGTGAAGGGAACGGAGGAAATAAATTATAATAATTTGGCTTTGTGTTGACTGGGGAAGAGATTATAAATAAACAGCAAGTCTGTTAATCTGTGCCAAACTGGCAGTGACATCAGATAAAATAATAATAATTCTTCCTGTTGTCAGAAATGGAAAAATTGGGGCTCCTGCTAGAATGAAAGGTTCTGTGGCAATGTATCATTAATAAACCAATGCATTCTCGATCCCTCTCCCCACAAATCACAATGCAAGCTTTATACTTGCATTCAGGACGGTTTCGACTCCGGGTTCACAACACTCCACTGGATTCTAGTTGATTGCCAAGAAATATGTACAAAAGAACATGTTGGTCATTTTACGTGTGCTTCAATTTTTGGTACCAACTTTATTTACTCAGGCACTGGGAAGGTCTGGGAATTTGATCTTGGCATATATTTTGAGCCAGGGAAGAAAGATGAACGGGAGATGGGCAAAGGCAAGAACTGGCATGTGTTCATCTTGTTTTATCCCAAAATACATTCTTGTGCATTCGTGGGGACCTTTTGAAATCCTCTCTCCCAGCTCAGCTGGCAACACTTCTTTGGAAGACTGTTTGCATTTCTAATGAAAAAGCGAAAGGTCAAATTTCAGCTGGATGAAGATCTTCTGCTAAAGCACAATGTGGCTTACAAGTTAAACCTGTGCACTAGTTATGCCCGAGTTCAGCGGTACTTAACTTCCAAGACACAATGCACAGGATGGAACTCAAGCTGATCCTCACAAATTGGGTATGATGCTAATTACTGCTGCTCCCTGGTATGTGTGCATACTGTATGTTTCCTAATAGACCTACCCAACTGGAAATGGGAGTTGCCATAGGAACATAGGAAGCTGTGCTGTACAAAGTCAGACTGTCAGTTTTCCAGGATTTCCATTGATATTTTCTCCCCGCCCTACCTGCAGATGCAGCAGGACTGCATCTACCTTCTGAGTAAAAATGCATTGGACGGATCTGAAACTAATTAACCAACCATGCATCCAAATTAATAAGGGACTCTCTCCCCCTCCTCCATTTACTCCATTCCTTAGAAATTGAAAGAAGCCACATAGGACTCCTGTTTCTACCACTTCTTGCACAATCCTGATGGCAAGTGGCGTGCAAGAGCTCCCATCTATTTAATTTGGATTTAAGAAAGGGTGCAAAGAGATAAGGAGGGCTGAATTTCACGTATAAGATTCATATACCCAGTTCTGCTCTCTGTGTATATTCTAAACAAAACACAATGTAGACTGGAGCACAAAGCAAGCGGCTCTTCACCCACATTTCGTTTTAATTTATTCAAAGAAATAGGGCATGAATAACACTGCATGGCACTCTCCCACTGATGTCATCTGTGTACACCACTCCAAAGAAGGTCATTTTCACATCAGAGAAACATAAAATTGCAAGCACAATGCGCAACCCATTTCCTCTCCAAAATGCCCTGCGTTGACGCTTGTAAGAAGAAGCAAACCTCCTCCTCCCCCTTCTTCTTTTTAATCCTCTACTTATAAATATTTTGAAGACAAAGGGGAAATGGGAGACTTGAGGAAAAAACAAACAAACAAACAAGGGAGAGTAAGATGCAGATGGGCACATTAAAAATAATGAGGATTTAAAAAACCAACGCATAGAGGTCAAATCACTGGAGAGATTACTGCCAAACTGGTATCCTGCAGGCTAGATTTTAAACTTCTTTTTAACAGACCTCCATTATACTACCATGGTTATCTATCCTTCTAACACAGGTGTCTTCAGCCTTTTCTGACCTAGGATCCACTGTTAACCCAAACACACATTTAATATTTTACCATATATTTGCATGGTAGCAGTGCAAGCTGAAATACAGACACTCTTCAAGATGGGCACTTTTCCGAATTCTGCAATGCAGGTCTCCAGTCAAGTGACAAGACACAAAATGCAAAGAGTGGAGCAACCAAAATTTGCCGATTTCATCCATCCCTATTCCGAAGTAAGTCCTGCTCAAGTTCAGTGAGACTTACTCCTGGGCTGTCACCTTTAAATCCCATGGATTTTCCTTAAGGAGTTGCCTTGTGTGACTTCATCTGTAAGACAGAAATTAAAAGTGATTCTATTGATACTTTAACAAAAAAGAAAAGACAAAGAAATCAAAGCTAAATTAGTAAATGGAACCCTACCTTTTTAAATGTTATGTTTCCTTAAAGACAAAAAGAACTAGTTACTCTTTTTTCTTTCTTTTTTATAAAGTGGGTATTAATATAACATTCTTTTTATAAAGTGGCTATTAATATACAGTAACATGTAAATATAGAAGTAACCAAAAATGAACTGTCCTTCCTCCTCTCCCCATATTTTGTCAGTGACTTACAAAAGTTTTAACTTTCCCCCCAGAAAACAACAACAGAACCTTCCCTATATCGCTTCTGCTACTTCTGACACTATTCTCCACAGTGGTTGTATGAAAACCCATCTTGTTTGCAAGAGATGGACTGGATGACTAAAGGCCTAGATATTCTTTTAATCTGTTCCCCCAGAGTGGAATTGTGGAATCGAGACATGCAGTCGATACGTTTCATAAAAGTCTCTCTTCATTTATTTATGTGGATTCTTTTTGGGCGTCCTTTCCCTAAATGCATTAGGCCTCCCTTGCACATTCCATATTTGTCCATGTGTTTGAGTTAGCCTGTGGTAATAACAACCACACAGACAAGCCTCACAGCTGCCGTAGGGTTCCAGGAACAGGGACCCAGCTCACTCTCTGTCCTCCCTCCTCCGCACCAAAGTCTAGTCAATCCAAGGTGAAATGTCATCCTTCTTGAAACATTTTCCATAGAAAACATGACAAGGGGATGTAGAACACAGAAACCCAATGATGACAATAGCATCAGCAAAACCATCAATAAGATATCCAAAATAAATGGTTAAAAAAGAAAAGAAAATCAAGTTCCAAAACAGGCCCACCTGAACAATGCAGTTTTTGAAGGAGATTTAAAATAAAGCAGGGATGACTTGTGCTGAATTTCTGTTGGCAAGGAGTTCCACAGGGGCCCCTGTCTCCATGAACACAGCAGGCTCTGAGGCAGACGTAGCAGCAGAGGGGTGCTCCAGGAGGTTGAGGCAGGCAAGGGCCCACAGCTGGCTATGTGGGGCTCACTAGCTCTGGGAGGAGGGGTTTGATTCCTTAGCTGGAGTAGGCTTGGAACAGGTGAGGGTCACCTGCCTCGTCAAGCCCAGATGCTGCAATCAGCATGCAAAGTTCAACAGGGGAGCAGAACTGAGGTGCTGGGTCTGCTCAACTGCCCATGTTGATGGATCTTGGCTTAGATCAGGCATCCCCAACCTGCGGCCCTCCAGATGTTTTGGCCTACAACTCCCATGATCCCTAGCTAACAGGGACCAGTGGTCAGGGATGATGGGAATTATGGTCCAAAACATCTGGAGGTTTGCCACCTTATTTCGCTCAGGATGTGTGATACAGGCCCCAAGCCTTTCCAAAAGGAGGGGAATTGTGGAGAGCAGGAGATCTCCTATCCTTGAGCTTCCCAGCTCTTACACTCGCTCTCATTGTTAGCTAGTCAGGCAGGATTTAGTAACCTTTTCCAGATGCTCCAGAAGCATTTAAGAGTTCTGCATTTCTCAGCGAAGGTCAAACGACCAGCAATTTTATTAGAGGTTTCACTGGCAGAGAAGTCCGGTCCAATCACCGCTGAAGTCAGCGACAAAAAAACTCCCATGGATCTTACGCTGGATGGAACCCGCACGGCCGTTCGATCTGATAAGCGCTATAAATACCATGCACGGATATTGGTTGAAGGCTGCTGTGGGAAAAGTACCACGGCTGAATCCCCAGCAACAATCCAGATGACTGCAATCCAAAGGGCTTAGGGAACAGTAAAATAAGCAGAACAGAATATTTCACTGAGATCAAACTGTCTGCACTATCTCAGTAAAGATTTCTGCTAAACCGCGGCTCGTAAACGAGTCATTGCTTAGCAAGCTGGTTTTCAAAAGTTACACAGTAACTCGGGGAACCCAGCAGAGCTGGAATAGCATAGGAGCTAAGAGTTTAAGGCTGCAACCCAAACTGCGCTTTCCTGGGAGTAAGGCTCACTCAATTCAGTAGAACAGGGTTTCCCAAACTTGGGTCTCCAGATGCTTTGGACTGCAATTCCCATCATCCCTGACAACTGGCCATGCTGGCTAGGGATGATAGGAGTTGTAGTCCAAAAACGGCTGGAGACCCAAGTTTGGGAAACCCTGTAGCAGAACTTATTACTGCATCAATATGGTCAGGATTGTTTCTAACTGACTGGCCACGTCTTTGGCTGCAGGTCTGTACTGTCAGCAGTGAACACCTTGCGTCAAGTGATACCTGTGGGATAACTTCTCCAGGGACGTTAGGACACTTGTCATTGCCTTCCACAGGTCAGGACAATGCTGCCTCAGGCAGCGACTATCAGCCTGTAATCGTATTCCTGTAATAATCGCACATATACAAAATAGGCGTCGCTTTCCGAGGTGCCCTGGCAAGAGGCTGATAGTGCTTATAAATAGCCATGCACAGCAAACAAGTGATAAAAACCTAATGCACATACGCAAATATTTAAAAAACAATCGTGGTTTGTCTGATAGCATTTCTTTCAAGTGTGATCGTCATAACATGCGATAAGGAGTAACTGGCAATGAGTTCCGCGCTACACATTGGTAAACATCACGCGGCGTTATCACAGTCAATTCCCAGCACGGAGGCACAACAGACTGTAAGAGAAGCCGTTTCAGACTCGGCTCCGAAAGGTCCACTGAAGGGCTGAGACTCATCCTGCAGCAATATAAAGATAAGTTACATACAGTGGAACCTTGTGTTACAGACGGGATCCATTCCAGAGGCCCGTCCATAACACGGAACTGATGTAAGCTGAAGTGTCGCATCTGCACACGGCGCAATTTAGTGCTTCTGCGCATGCGGCGAAACCTGGAAGTAACCCGTTCCGGTACTTCTGGGTTGCTGCAGGACGCAACATGAAAACACGTAACCTGAAGTGGACACAGCATGAGATATGACTGTATAGTACTTGCTGCCAGTGTGGGTTTAGTTCATCGTCGTCGTCATCATCATCATCATCATCAAATTCTATACCACCCTTCACCTGGACATCACAGGGTGGTTCACAAGAAACATGAATAGAGGAGAGTATCTTCAAGCCAGCTGACAAAAGGAATTGGATTAGAGTCTTGGATTGTAAAACATAAAAGCTAGGCATTTGAGCCTGCGGGGGGGGGGGGTTATTTCTCATCCCTGACATTGTGATGTGAATTTCAGGGCAATATTCACATGCTGAATAGGCAGCTCTTTGTTTTATTTCTTACATTTACATACAGTGGTACCTCAGGCTACATACGCTTCAGGTTACACACGCTTCAGGTTACAGACTCCGCTAACCCAGAAATAGTACCTCAGGTTAAGAATTTTGCTTCAGGATGAGAACAGAAATTGTGCTCCGGCGGCGTGGCAGCAGCAGGAGGCCCCATTAGCTAAAGTGGTGCTTCAGGTTAAGAACAGTTTCAGGTTAAGAACGGACCTCCGGAACGAATTAAGTACTTAACCCGAGGTACCACTGTACTGCCTTTTTCTCTGGGGAACTTAAGGCAGTGTACGTGGTTTTCCCCACAACCACCCTGTGAGGCTGTGGCATAGCATGGATTGCCGGAGCCCAGGGTAAGGAAAGTATTCTGCTTCCCAACTGGCACCTCCATGTAGCGCTGTTGCTGCTGAATGGAGCTATGGAGCAGCATAGTGATGTGGTCTGGGGGAAAGAGTGGCAAGAGTCCCGGGGGCCAAACAGCCGCCATCAGGCCATCGTAGCAAGCATTAAAGTTGCAGCCCAATGCCTACATACCTGGTAGCAGGATTCATTGAACTCGCTGCAGTAGATGTGCACAGGATTGTGTTGTAAACACCTCTGCTTATTCCCATGCCATTGGAAACTAGTCGATGTGTCCCTTGCACTTTGAGCGCTTCTGAATAATGTCAGAACTTCGATGCATTCAGAGGTTTGTGGGAGTTTATTTTTTGTAGCAGTGGCAGCTGCCGTGAATGCCTCTATTTGTACCCGGGGAATTGATTTGGTACACCAATTGTATGGTCACAAGCTGGCCTGCACAACTGTGCAAATTTAATAAATGAATGAAATACGATTAACATTCTATACTCTTCTAAATGTGTTTGTGGGAGGGGTGGGGGGGTTATTGGTTTGCGGTTTTTCGTTCTTGTTTTTATTATGTGTTTTCATCTTGTATTTTTATGTCGCGAGCCACTGTGAGATCTACAAATTTGAATAAATAAATAAAAATAAACTTGGAACCCTGGCAAAACACTTAGGGTGTTGTGCCGTGCCAGCAAAGGGTGTGCGCTGGGGAGAGTTTGGGGGGCAGAGAGAGAGAGGCCTAGAGATGAATGTTTGGCCCCTGGGACTGAGGTGCCTCCCCTTGATGGGCTGGACTTGGCTAGATGGATCGCAAATTTCTGTATGTCTTGGCGAGGGAGTGCTTTTGACTTATCTTAAAAGACAGCGGTGAAACGCACAGCGAACTGTATTGAGGAGTAGAAGCTCCTTGCATTTGATAAGGCAGAATTCCGTAACCTCAATAGTGCCAAACTTAAATTCTTTGAATAGTGTGTTTCTTTCCTTCCTGGGTTTTCTGGGTCTAGCATTATTCTCCACATAAAATATTCACACTTGCCGGCTTTACGTTAGTTCACAGCAATTTCTGGGACAACGTTACTGTATTTGCACTGGCAAGTAAAAACAGATGATCCTCTGTGATCAGCGAGTATATTCATCATCACACCCATCTCATGCTGTTGGTTGCTTGAAAGAAAAGAACAGGATGTTGATCAAAGTATTAATGAAAAATAGCACACTTTTTCAAAGAAATGAATATGTATCTGAAGTCGAGTTGCCCAGAGTTAGCACCTAGTCCCCAAATTACTATATTGGTGCAACAGAGGTGGCTGGTGCCCAGTAGGGAAGGAGGGAGGTTGAGTCAGAGCCAACAATAGGTGAGGCTAATTTATTGTCGCTTT